ATTAACCTGAGTTTCACTCCCCCTGCTTGGCTGCTGCTCATTGCAATTAGCAGCTGTGGAAATTGGAGCAACACTTGGAGATGTCAAGATGCAGGGATGGGCTGCGGGAAGGACCCAGTGCAGGGCGAAAGGGACGCGCTCTGGTGCCACCCAGCTCGCTCTGAAGTCGGGGCCCGTGTGTTCCAGGAGCCTCAGGTCTGAAAACCCCTTTGGCATTTGTTAAATTTGCCAAATCCAGATGATTTCCTGTTTAGAAATTCCTCCTGGTCTGTACGTGAGGGGAGGCTCTTAGGGTGGTGAGGAAACCTTGCCTAAATCTGCCAGAAAGCAAAACCATTCAGTTTCTTTCCCTTTTACGTGGGAATTGGAAACATTTACCGTGGTTTTGGGCCGTGCTGCTCTGAGCCTCCGGAGCTGGTACTTTAAAACCTTCTTTTGCAAAAGACTTCAAAAATCCCCAAAAGAAATGCTACAGGGGTGAGATTTGTCCCTGGTCCAAGGGGGTTAGCGGAGGTCCCTGGTTCACAAACCTGGGACAAGGCACCAGGAGGATGCAAAGGTGGATCCCGAGCAGCAGCAGCGGGATAGTAGCTGGGATTTTGGTCCGGGAGGCCCTGGGTGAAGCTCGGGAGACGCCGTGGATCCAGAGTGACCCTCGTTCCCCATCCACATCCACAAGGACCAAATCAAGCTCTTGGTGATGCCATCTGCTCCCCTGGCCAAACCGCCTGCCCAGATGCTTCTCTCCCCTCCAAAAGCCTCCAAATACTCAACCTGTTTGAGTAGGTGTCGATGTCCAAGGGGAAACTGAGGCTGATCCCACCGCTGGGCAGCTCTGGGCACCAGCTCCAGCCCGGCCTGCTCGCCGCTTTTGTTCTTTTCTGCTTGGTTTTAAGAAAAACGAAGTTCGGCAGAGGGATTTGCCACCACTCCAGGGATTTGGCCATTAATTTCTAATGGGGATTAAGAAAACCAATCCTTTAAGCAGCTTTCGCAGCCCGACCCCCAGCTCCCCTCCCTGCAGGGACCCCCATCCAGAGCTGAGCAGCCCCCTTGCTCCAGGAATCCGCCCATGGTGCCGCAAACCCAGCGTGTCCTCGTCCCCTAGGGTGGCCCTGCCACTGTCCCCAGGTAGCTCCAGGCCCCTGAGGGCTCAGGGACAGATGGGAGAGGTGGTGGCAGCCCCAGCTGTGCAGCCCCTGCCCGGAGCCCTCTCACCGTGGGAGGAGGGTAACAAAAACCTCGTTAGCAGCCTGACCCCGTTAGTAACCATGGCGACAGAGCAAGGCAACCTGGGGAGACAAAAATAATAAATAAATAAAATTAAAAAAAAAAATCATACTGCAAAGCTGCTCCTGCAGTGAGCAGTCCCCAAGGCCAGGCTTGCACGCGAGGGTGAAGGTTGCACGAAGCCCCTTTCCCGCAGGTTTTGTAACCAAAGCAAAGGCCGAGCAACGGGACGGGACTTCTGCACCGCGACGGGTACCGGGGGCCTGGTGAGACGGCGGCTGCTGCAGCGAACGAGCGTGGGCAGGAGGAGGAAGAGGAGGGACGGGCAGGCCGGCGGGCACAGCGACACGGGCCAGACATCCAGTTGGCACGGGATGAAGGTCTGCGGTTCAGAGCCCTCCTCCTCCTCTGCCCACGGGAGGGACAAAGGTGCAGAGGGTTCTCTTTCCACACGATGCTTCAGCTGTCCCTGGTTCTCCTTAATGCTGGGCATTCCACCCCAAAATGGGGAGCATATGGGGGGAAAAGGGGGCTGGAGATCCCAGCTGCTCGTGGTTTGCAAACTGCAGGGGTCAGTGGGGGTGCTAGGAGCAATTCCAGAGGCACGGAGCCTGCTTCCTGTGCAGGGACTTGCCAAGGGATCTTCCCAGGCTGGGTTGACCAGTGGGAGGTTTGGCAGAGCTTCCCTGGGATATTCGGGAGCCGGGCACTTTTCCTACCCAGCACGAGACTAGCACTGGCTACAAGCACCTGGGGACATGCTGGAGGTGGAAAGTGCCCATTTTTTGCATTCCACTAATGGAAAGTCCAAATTGGAGAATGTTAAAAAGAAGCTAGATCTGCCCAGAAATGCCCTCACGATTTCTGTGTGCTACCTGGGGTGGCAATAATCTGGATCAAGGGGGCTACAATCACCCGAATTCCAGGGGCTGCAATGAGCTGGATCCCGGGGGCTTCAATGATCCAGATCCCAGGGGCTGCAATGACGCAGATCCCAGGGGCTGCAATGAGCCGGATCCCGAGGGCTGCAATGAGCCGGATCCCAGGGGCTGCAATGATCCAGATCCCGAGGGCTGCAATGAGCCGGATCCCAGGGGCTGCAATGACCTGGATCCCAGGGGCTGCAATGACGCAGATCCCAGGGACTGCAATGATCCGGATCCCAGGGGCTGCAATTATCCGGATCCCGGGGGCTGCAATTATCCGGATCCCGGGGGCTGCAATGACCCGGATCCCGGGATCGCAGCACATCCTTCCGCAGCCGCGCAGGGTCTCCGGAGGAGAGCGGCTCACGCAATGCGCTGTCTTCCAGGCACTTCTGCCTTAGAGCTTTATGAATATTGTAGCAAGGCCACTCCTTTCATCTCCACGTCCTGCCGGGGAGCCCCAAACCCTCCACACATTCACTTCCACCTCGCTGTTTCCCTCAATTATTTACAGCCCCCTTCCCGGAGCGGAGCCCTTCCATCAGCGCACGTCCCGTGGAGCTGCCCCTGCAATTTGGGGACATGAAGATCCCCTCAGCTGCTCTGCAGGCTTCCTCAGGGCCACCACTTGGACAGGACAGTCCCTTTAGCCCAGATCCAATCAAGTCTCCCTGTTGAGCCTGGGGAGGCTCCGTCAGGAATTGGAAGCATCCCGAAACTTGATGGGACCTGGCAGGACCGTCTGCCATCCTGCATGTCCCTGTGGCTGGAGGGGTCCCTGCTCCCTCTGCTCATTTCATTGCTCGTTACCCCCAGCTGCTCTGTTTATTGTCACTGCTCTCCCTGACACCAGCTCCATTCCGAGCTTCCCTGCTCCATCCCAGCCTCTCTCCTGGCTCCGTGGTGGGTCCCTCTCATCTGTGCTTGCTCTGGGGCATCCCAGGTTGGGGGACCCACCAGTGCCCATCGCTCGCCTTGCTCCTGCGTCATGCTCTGAATTAATCATCAGCGCTGCTCCGAGCTGGGCCCTTTGCTTCCCGAGATTTTTTTCTTTTTGCACATTAAAAATTAATGGTGTTAAATGATTGATGGCAGGTGGCCCCTGTGCCTGCGCTCGAGCACGCAGGGTTTTCTTTCCCCGAGGCCTGGTGCGTGTCCCTGTCCCCAGCCCTCCCCTCCAGCGCTGGGCCTCATCCAAGGGGCTCCCAGGGCTGATCATCTCCAAGGATTCCCTGGTGAAACCTGGTGTGGGAAACTCGTCCTCCCACTCAAGCAACACCTGCAAACGTTATGTTGGAAATGTGGGCACCCATAGCCAGCAAGCACCCTGCTCCTCCACCCCAGCACCCACCGTGGCACCCACCTTGATCCTCCACGCCAGCACCCATCCCCAACTCCCATCCCGGCACCCACCCTGCTCATCCATCCCCAACTCCCATCCTGGCACCATCCTGCTCTGCCCCGCAGCCCCCGTCCTTGGCACCCACCCTGCTCATCCATCCCAGCGCCCGTTCCACCCCTCTCGCCCATCCCAGCGCTCGTCCCGCTCCCTCCTCGCCGCTCCCGGTGCTTCCCGGGCCGCCACCGCCCTCTCCCGGCCGCGGCCGGCGCTGGCCCCGGGGAGGGGG